CGATTTGAGCTGATTTAGGTCGTTTGGGCCAATTGAAGCCGTTTGGGTCGATTTAGGCCGATTGGACCAATTTAGGCCGTTCGGAGCAATTTAGGCCGATTCAGGCCCTTTGAACCAATTTGGGCCGTTTGGATCATTTGGGGCCCATTTAGGCCGTTCGGACCGTTTTAGGTCGATTCGGGCCAATTCAGGCCGTTTGGATCGATTTAGGCCTTTGACCGATTCAGGCCATTCGAGTCGATTTAGGCCGTTCATGCAATTCGGGCCAATCCAGCCGTCTGGGCCAATTCAGGCCGTTTGGACCATTTCTGGTACGAATACTCCCTCTAATTCAAGGGCACCGCCTTTCTCTCTCCAGAAAAAAGCTCATAAACTGCACTTCCTGTGAGGAGGTCCTCACATAAAAGTGTCATAAAACATTTCTATAAATTCTCGTCGTTAAAAAAAGTTTTTTTTATTCGTTCCAAAAGAACTGCCCCATCATCATAATTCCCTTCATTTTATTCCCTCTCCTCTCGTCCCTGGAGAGAAGGATACTCGATTTCGTAACCCATTTCGAAAGAGAGAGAAAAAACTACGCGGCTCGTTTAACATTGCGCAGTTTTATTCAGAAGGAGGAGAGGAGGAAGTGGAGGAGGAACAGAATAGAATATTTTTTGATTCCCAGTTTTATTCATTTTTTTTTGGAAAGTTCTCTCTATGCCCAGATGTTCGGATGTCTGTCCGAATTTCTTGAAGTCCAGATGTCCTAGTGTCCAAATTCCATGTTGTATGTATGTCCGGATGTCCTGATGTCAGAATGTTTGAAGTTCTGGGTATGTATATCTGAATTTTTGTATTTCCGAATGTCCAAACATCCGGATGTTCTAAAAATGAAAATTCCGAACGTCTAGACGTACTGATGTCCGGATGTCCAAATGTCCGGGTGTCTGTCTCAGTATTTTCCCGGAGAGGTGTATTTCTGAATGCTTGAATGTCCAAATATCCGGATATCCAGATCTCTTTATGTCCGTATATCTGGATGACGTATGATTATTGAATACAAGAATATCCTGATGTCCTAATGCCTAGGTGTCTGTCTGTCTAAATTTCCAGGTATCCGGATGTCCATAAATTAATAGGCCTATGTGGTCGAACGTCCGGTGTCCGATTTTCTCTCCGGATTTCCGAATGTCGGAACTTCGAAATCCGGAATTTAGGATGGTCGGGTGTTTGGAAACTCGAACGACCTGATGTCTGTATTTCTGGATGTTTGTGAGCCCGACTGTCCTGATGTCCAGGTGTCCAGATGTCCGGTCGTCCGGCTAACTAATTACCCAGATTTCCAGATGTCCTCAGGTTTGGATATGTGTCTGACAGAATGTCCAAATATCCGGATGTTCAGTTGCAAGTCTGTAGTAATATCCAAATATCCATAGCCCACCAATCCAGGATGTGCAAATGCCCGAACGTCCTGTTTTCTGTTCATCCGGATGTCGGCGGTCTATCTGATAAGTTTTTGATTAGATTCTGGGTTTTTGACACAAAATTAACACTTTTCCCTCTGTTCAATCTCCATTCGAAATCAAGGAATTCATCGGAAAAAGTTTTCCGTTCTTCCAACTTTTTTTTCTCGAAAAGTCCTACCCTACCTTTACACTTTTCTCCACTATAACCACTTCCACAACCACACCAGATGGATTGGAGGGAAAACTGATTCATGTGTTTGCGTGCTGCTTGATCAAGAAAAAAGAAGAAAAAAAGAAGGAGAAGGGTGGTGGTTAGGGTATTACTACGAAACCACTATCCGATAACTAATTCGTTTTGTTCTTCTCGTTCGTGTAGTATGGTCAGTTTTAATACTAGAAATTGGGATTTCTTGATGATTTATTAGTATTTTTTCGTGGAAAATTAGATGAAAATGGGTAAAAGTTTTCAATTTTTGAAGGCATTTCAAATTATAGGTCGGTCTCATTTTCCACTCAAAAAACCTCGTTTAGAAGGGCACTGTCAAGTGAATACTGTGATTTCGAGGAGGATTGTCTGTCTGTTTGTCCGGATGTCTGTCTGTCTGTTTGTCCGGATGTTTGTCTGTCTGTTTGTCCGGATGTCTGTCTGTCTGTTTGTCCGGATGTTTGTCTGTCTGTTTGTCCGGATGTCTGTCTGTCCGGGAACTTGGATGTCCAGATGTTCAAGATGTCCAAGTACTTGTCGTTCCCTCTTGAAACCTCTATTAGAAGGGCAGCGCCGATAGTAGTTTTTTGTTATTTTTTTCCTATTTTGAGATCTGTGTGTCTGAGGGTCCGAAAGCCCAAAATTAAGGGTTCAAGAAGCCTTTTGGCTCATTTTGGTTTTCTGTCCGTATGCCCGGGTGTCTGGTGTCTTTTGAGGGTTTTCAAAGGCGTTTTGGTCTGTCCGTGTGTCTGTATGTCCAGATGTCCAAAACAAAAAACCAGGGGTCATTCGACTTCGAAGTTAGTAGGCTGTGTCTGCCTGTGTGTCTGTTTGTCCGCATGACCTGATGTGGAAAACATGAAACCTACAGATTCTGAAAGTTATTTTTCTGTCCGAGCATCTGTATTTCCGGATGTTCAAAGCTAGAAATCGAGGGGGAGGGGGGTCTAGGAACTAGTTGAAATAGCACCAGGGTCCGAGCCTCGATGATTTTGTCTGGCCAGGTTTCTGAATGTCCGGATGTCCGAGCAAAAACAAATAGATGGAACAGGATGTAGGAGACTTTTGATTGGGAGGTTTTTAGCATTGATAGATTTGTCTGTCCTGGTACCTATATGTCCGGATGTCCAAATCTCAAAATCGGGTTTTCAGTATTCAAAAAAAAGTCAAAGGTTAGGATAACATTCTTAATTAGATTTCTATGTCTGTCCGAATGTCTGTATGTCCAGATTTCCAGAATTGAGTACTAGGGGTTTTGTTTGAAAATGTCTGTTCAGGAATCGTGTGTCTGAATGTCCAGATTTTTGGAATTCGAATGAGTAAATGACGCCTGTCCGGGTGTCTATATGTCTAGATGTCCAAATTTCCAAATGTCCGAATGTCCGGATATCCAGATGTCTAGACATTCATCTGTATGTCTGTAAACCCAAAATCAATTAATTTTCAGATGTGTGCCCGGATGTCTGTGCGTCTGAATCTTCAAATATTCGGATGTCTCAATATCCGGATGTCTAGATGTCTGTCTGTCTGTATGTCCGAATATCCGGATGTCCTCCCCCCCTCTCTCTCTCTTCCTCTCTCTCTCCCTTCCAAAATAACATCATACAATTTGCATATATCGCCATCAACAATACTTCTCCTTCTCTCCATTTTTTTCTTTCATCATCTCCTCCAACCTTCAATTTTTCTCTTCATTTTTCCGTTCCTTTCATTTCTCTCCATCTTCCCCCTATTCCTCTATTTTTTGATGCCCAACCTAACCGACTGACTGACCAGCAGAAGAAAAAACAGAATGGAAACGTAGGAGAAATGAAAGAATTGTGTAAAAAAAGAAGAAGAAGAGCAGGTTCAAAATGAAATTGAATGGAAAAATAGAAGAGGAGAGTGTTTCCCATCATCGTTTAGATGTATAATTACCCCCCTTCAATGTGTCTAAAAACCGCTGATGAAAAGCGGAAAAGAGAGAGAGAGAGAGAGAGAGAGAGAGAGAGAGAGAGAGAGAGAGAGAGAGAGAGAGAGGTCAGTTTTCATTTTAAGTAGCCATATGTTTGTCTAGAGGTATTAGGTGTCATCAGTGAAGTGATTTACCTAAATTTTTTTATTCCTTTGGTCCTGAAAGGACCCACGGCTAGATTTTTTTTGTAATTTCCCGATCTTCCTTTTTTCTGAAATTTTTGGACCGTCTGAAAATCCCGGCAAATACTCAACTGCTATGGTGGTGATCAACTGCTACTGTCTCAACTGCTATAATTGGCTCTTCTGCTATGGATCAACTGCAATTTTCGTCACTTTTAATGTCTCAACTGCTATGGCTATAATAGCAGTTGAGACATCAAAAGTGGCAAAAATAGCAGTTGACCAATAGCAGAAGAGCCAAATGCAGCAGTTGATCACACCCATAGCAGTTGAGAAATAGCAGTTGAGTATCTATCGAAAATCCCCACCCTTTCTTTTATCTTCCTTTACCCTTTTTTTACCTGTTCCCGTCAAAAATTCAAAAGCTGTGTGTCTGTATGTCCGGATGTCACAACCAAGGCCTCGGGCTCCCAAATGTCTGTCCAAGCGTCTGCACGTCTGGATATCGAGCTTTCCCCTCTCGAAAAGACCCTGTTCCTTAACTTCTGTATAGCATTTGAGAATTTCATGTCTGTCTGAATGTCTGTTTGTCCAGATGTCCAACACTACTGGGTACGTATAACTGGTCCCCAAGTGCCTGTATCCGGCTGTCCGGGCATCCAACTCTCTTTCTCTGTCTGTCCAGGCATCTGTATGTCCGGATGTCCAAGCAATTATTTTTCCACGGGTCTCACCACGATTGAAGATATTCCTATAGAAGGTCCAGATTCTGGAAAGTTCTTTCGTTTTGAGAAGTTTTCAACTAGAAAAACAAGTCTGTCCAGGAACTTGAATGTCCGGATGTCCCTATTCACCTTAAAGGCGCACAGCACGTCATTGAGAAAAATCTCATGCTGCGCTCATCACTCTCCTTTCTCAATTTCAGAACTTTTGACCTTCTGAAATTCTGATTACTTTCTTCCTTTCTCTCTTTCTTTGTCTCTCTCTCTCTCTCTCTCTCCCTTATCATTTTTTTTCTTGATGATCAAGCAGTTTGCGTACTCATTAAGGAAGAAGAATGACATTATGCTGCTCTTCTCGTAGTATAAATAATAGTAGTGACTAGTGATAAACATGTCAATCAAACAGATTTTTCGAAATTGATTGTCAGATTTTCAGAATTTACCTTTTTTTTTCTTTGTTCTGCTTCTCCATTCCAGGGACCGGCGCCACAAACGAAAAGGGGGGTGGGCGCCGCAATATGTAGGCCCTCTCTTTCTCTTCCTTTCTACGCGTCCATGGCGCAGTGGGTAGCGCGCTTGCTTTTGAAATTTCACACCCGGGTTCGATTCCGCGTGGGGGTAAATTATTTTTTTTTCTTTTTTTTTCTTATGAATCATCATAATCTCCTGTTTTTTGTTCCTCATATTCGTTTTCCCCGTTTTTTCCTCAGATTTCGCCCCTGTTCCAGTTGTTCTTCACACCTCTTTTCCCCCCATGTTCTCAAATTGCAACATGACTCAACCATATCAATCAGGCCTCCCCTGTTTACTTTCCCCATCTTTTTTACACTTCACTGATAACCGCAAAACTTCTTTTTGGTCACTATTACTCATTTCTTGTTGTTGCAGATGTTCCATGGATTTATTCTGGTTTTGTTGGTAGCAGGAGCTTGGGCTCGCGATGTCGATTATGTGAGTTTTCCCTGTAATAAAAGGGCATGTCTGGACTATAAACTACAAAGACTACAAACTACAAAAAATGTATTGCTTAAAATATGCTTCTATCCCTTCAAAATCAAGAATTGCTCAGAATAAAACTTCAATTTTTTCCAGACAGACTTCCTTCAAAAGTACGGGTACCTGCCACGTGGATCCAATCAGTTGAGCTCCACTTCCCTATCGGAAGCCCTCAAACAAATGCAAAAAATGGCTGGACTCGAAGAAACTGGGGAATTAGACGAGAGAACGAAACGGATGATGGAGAAGCCGAGGTGTGGACATCCGGATGTGCCGGAGGAGAACAGACAGGCATCACGAGGGAAGCGATACGCACCGCCGCAGTTTAAGTGGCAGGATAAGGTTATTACTTATGGGTTAGTTTGGTTTTTTTTGGAAAACGGACCAGGGTTGTGCAAAAAAATTTTCGAAAATTGTTTTTTTTTTGGTTTCCAGGCCATTTTCCGGAAAATTTTTCTCCTTTTTTTTCGGAAAAAAATTCGAGAAAATCGGTTTCTTAGTTGTATATGTTTATGCTTTTACCGCCTTTTTATCCATTTTGCCTGAAAAAAAAACCGAAAATTCCGAGAAAAAAAATCCGAAAAATCATTTTTTCAATTTTTTTCGGAATTTCTTTTTCGCACAGCCCTGATCCGGATGTACAGATTTTCTATGAAGGTGCTTAGAACTTTATTTGGATTGTAAATTCAAAAATGGGGTTGAAACTTTTCGAAAAACGACCAAAAAAAATGATTTCTTGTTTCCAGAAATATATTTTCCTACTACGTTTTCTGTTTCTGTTAGAAACTGTAATATTTTCAAAGAATTTGTTCGCGAAACTTCCTCAATTTTCGTGGCGAGACCCACTCTGAGCTTCCTGTACTCTTTCACTCTGCTTCTCACTGTACGGCGGCGCCAAAAGAGGCGGGACCACCACAATATGTAGCCCCTTCCTTTCTGATTCCATGGCGTGCGTTCGTGGCGCAGTCGGTAGCGCTCCTGTTTTACAAATTTTCAACGCGGGTTCGATTCCTTCAAGGGTCAAAGCAGTTTTTTTTTCTTTTTATTCATTTTTCCCATACTTGTGACCGGCCGGTCTTTCCATCATTTTTCAAGGTTCGGCTTGGCCCTGAGGCCCTCTTGACCCGGAAGATTACCGGGAACTTTGAAAAATCGAAAAAGAACTTCGAAATTTTGTGCTCCAGGTTTGTGTTTTCGAACCTTTTTCCGCTATTTTGAGAAACTTTCAGTGAAAAAATGTTAGATTTTTTGGAAGTCCAATTTTTTCCAAAAAAATTTTTTTTGAATCCGGCCCTCCCGGCCGAAATTTTATAAGTATGATTTTTCCACCGATCAAATTGGCAACCTGAACTTTTAAATTCAAAAAAATCCTCTATCTGCCCATCCAATTGATCTTTTGTCTTCTTCTCCCAGAGAGCCATCGCTGTGTCACTCACTTCCACCACATGTTCACTGCTCCAATGCTCGTGACTAATACAACTCTTTTCCCCCCAGCCAGCACCACTATTTCGTAAACTATTCCCTGGCTTTTAAACAATTCAGCATATTTTTATAAACTAAAATTTGAATTCCTGACCCTCACCTCCCTTGAAATTACCGTATTTATCATATGGATTCATGGATCGATCCACTCTTTCTAGGAGGTTGTGATGCTTAAATTTCAATGTTTGGCATAACAACCAGCAGAATGAGTTGATCGAAACATCCAGAAAAAGGATTAGAAGATAATTTGGATCCCGGGATCCAGGATCCAGGATTCAGGATCCAAGGAGGATAGAAGAATAGAAATGAGTGGAGTAGTAGCTGGTCGATCGAAGAAAGAGAGAGAGTGGTCTAAAAAGTGGGCGGAGTCAGTGTCCCCCCGGGGTCCCTACTCAAGAGACTACACGGATCAGAGAGAGCGCCGAAAGGCGAAGAGAAAGGGCAGCTGGCGGAGTTTAAAGCGTCACGAAGAGCAACAGGCCTCACTCTGCGTCTCCTCAAAATCCATAGTCTATCAGTGGACGTTTTTTAGACAGGGGAGAGGTAACCAACAGAAGATATTCGGATTACACAGGGGAGGGACACCCAATTGATGGGGAGGGTGTACTACGGGGTGGAAGGGAGGGAAGGAATGGTGTAAAGTGAGCAGAAGGGCAGATTATTTGACGGTGTTAGGTGGGAACGAAAGGTGAGCTGGAGATGGATACTTTGTAGATTGCGTAATTCCACAGAATGGTCCTCGAGTTTCTTCTGATAGAAGGGTCTAAGGTTCCAGGTTACATGAAAAAAGCAAAATTATGGAATACTGGTGTAACACGGTAAATTTTTTTGTAAGTACAATTTTATTCTCGGTTTCTACGTTCCATCTCACACGGAATTTTGCAAATTTCATATTGCGTCTTTAAATTCTGACAGTAAGCCGCGCTTAAGCCGAAGAAGCGCGCACCATGTTTCCAGAGCACTTTTCAGTAATAACTTTCGATCAAATTCTGTCAATATTATATTCAACATGATGCGAAGAAAAATTTATATTCAATTTCATCCAAAAAAAGCTTAGACCTTGATTTTTAATTTTTCAACAAAATGAGAAAAATGTCTACGTATCGCTGAGTCGCCACACAGTTGAAATGCGACCCTACAGTAAGACAGAGTCGGCGAATGAAACCTTTTGAAAACACGTACAAAAAAATTTTCCGTGCCGTCCTATACCAGTTGCGAAACGTCACAGTTTCGAAACGACTAGTTGCTAAGCGTCGCGGAGCCAAAAACTTTAGTTCCATGGGTCTACAATAGCAATTTGAGAAATCAGCTGAACTATCGCTCAACAAATTACAATTTCTGAAAGATTCCCTGAAAACATGATTTGTACCTTAAAGGCGCATACGGTTTTGAAACACATGTTATCAGGAAATATAGGGTTTGGTAGTTTCAGTTGCCTAAAAGGCGCAATTTCTATAGCTTTTTGAACCTTTCTTTGGAATGGTCTTACCAGGATTGAAGATTTTACTGTAGAAGTTTTCCACACTTCTGGTTTTTTTTTCGTGGCAGGACCCATGGGATACCTTAAAGACGCACGCGATTTTTTTTGAAAGCGAATCAAGACAAAACTGAAAGAAAAAAACCAAAATTTTCGAGAAAATTTGCCAACAGTAGGCTAAAATCGAAAACCTGAAATTCGAAACGAGAAAAAAAATCTGAAAAAAATCCTTTGAAGTCCGCTCACTTTCTCTAATCCCCTCCTCTCTAGCTCCCTCAACTTTTTTTGCCATTTCCAGATGCAAATCCGTCGGAACGTCCACCCGAATATCGCTAGACGACTTGCGAAGGACAATGCACCAGGCAGCTTCTCAATGGAGCGATCTTGCAGATGTAGAGATTGTAGAGACCTCCATGAAGAACCCAATGATTCAAGTTTCTGCGGGGGTACGTAAAGCTATCAAAGAGTGGTCAACTGAAGAAATGTTAAGCAAAGCATTTTTGACATTTTTCTAGTTGAAAATTTTTTGAAAGCTCTAAAGACAACCGAGATATGCTGCTTTGAACATACAGTACTACATTGTTTACGGTAATTTGAGCGGTTTTTTTTCCAGAGATCCACCCACTACCCTTGCACCGTTCAATTCGACACCCAAACCCTGGCACACGCCTTCTTCCCACCTAATGGACAGATTCATATAAATGATAATGTTCGATTTGAGATGACCAATTTCACCGAGAGGTTTGGAGGTAAGGGTGGGAGAGACAGAGAAAGCACAGCTTTCTCTATGCCCTCTTCTGCCATTACGTTTGTTGCGTGCGTAGCGCAGTGGCTAGCGCGCTCGTTTTATAAATTTCGGGCGCGGGTTCGATTCCCACTAGCGTCAAATCATTTTGTTTTTTTTCCAGGCAACTCCCTCTACTCCGTCGTTGCCCATGAAATGGGTCATGCTCTAGGTTTCAGTCACAGTCCCGACAGGGAAAGTATCATGTTCGCCTATGACACCCCGAGGCGATGGAAGTTCACTTCTATGGATAAATATCATATGCAGTTGTATTACGGGGCGAAGAAGGGTGTTCCAACAAGGAAAGATGAGGAGAGGAAAGAGAGAAAACCGGAGCAAGAAAAGGAAAGGGCAAGGGAAAGAGAACAGGAAAAAGATGACATTCGACCGGATGAGTGTCGAGTCGAAAATCCGATTGTCGTGCAGTACAGAGGAGAATATTTGATTTTTAAGGTGAGTTTAGAGCCTTAGGGGTCTCGTCACGAAGAAGCTGTTACTGTAATGATTTATTTTTTTAACCGCTGTTCACTTTGAAGGCGCATGCTGCTAAACTTTTTTACCACTACAAACTGGGATTTTTTCCGAATAATTCTTTTTTTTTCATTCGACCCGAAAATCCTAGTTCTGTGCAAATCGAAAAAAATAACAGTAATTTCTTCAATCGTGGCAAGACCTATCAAAAAAATTCGTTCGAAAATCGATTCTTACGGATCAGAGCAGCCGAAAATGAACAGAAAATACGCCAGAAATTCCAAAAGTTACATTTTTTGCTCAAAATTTCCAAGAATCCATAAAAACAGCCGGAAAAAAACGACCGTTACAGTAAATTTTTCAATCGTGGTGAGACCCTCCTGAAATATTTTGCGCTTCTTTTTGAGGGTTTTTCAACAAAAAATCATTCAAAATTCGAAAAAAAAATAGATCGAAAATGCCAAAATTTGACATTTTCCGGATCAAAATCTTGTATTTTGCAATTTTCCGGTCTGGATTTCTGATTTCAAATTCACAAAAACCAAACGAAAATCTATGAAAAAAAATTATTGTTTGTATTCCTGCAACAAATGAAAAAAATTAAAAACTACAGCAACTCATTCCATCGTGGTGAGACCTTTCCAATTCTTACAGAGCCAATGGGTCTGGAGAGTATCATCTGATTGGAAGCGACTCATCATAAAACCCGTGCCCATCGATCAATTATTCCCCGGTCTCCCGAATCCAATTGACGCCGCCGTTCAAGTCGGCCATCAACTTTGGGTTTTTGTTGGCGAAAAAGTTTATGTGATCTATGGGAATCGAATGGTTCATGCGCCTTTAACTCTAAAGGAGTTGGGGATTAATGAGAAATATATCGATTTGGCGTATGAGTGGCACTATTTTCAGTGAGTTTTTCTTCTGTTTGAAGTGATCAGCTAGAGCAAGTGCGCTCCAATCAAATCGCGCGGCGATTCAAATTTCAGTTTAGCTTATTCGCTGAGTTTGTAATTTTTCGGTGAATGATATCTTTTCCGAGAAATGTGGAAGTATTTTTATTTAAAAAATAACTGAAAAATAAATAATATTTTTTCCAGAAAAGAACATTTTTTTTTGAAGTTTTCAATTATGAATTTTTGTCGGAAATTCTCGAAAAAGAAGGCTTCATGCTAATCATTCTGTTTTGCATAGAAAACAATGCAAAATTTCTTCAGAAAACCTAACTAATAAAGTAGAAATTTCAAATTACCTCCGAAAATCTGGAATTTCAGCAGAGCGCGCTTGCTTTGAAAAGACAATACGTACCCGTGGCTAACCTCCCACTAAATTTCAGTCCCCCTGCAATCTACATCTGGAAAGGCTCCCGTTACTGGAAGCTAGACGAGAAAATGGATTATCGAAAAGTGGATGAGCGGTATCCCAAAGCGATTGACCTGAACTGGGCGCGGGTGCCAAAAGGAGTCCATTCCGCGTTCACCTATCAAAAAGAAATCCATTTCACCCGGGGGAATGAGGTTTTTCGAATGAATTCCTCTCGATCCGTGTTGGATGTAGCCGACGGATTTCCACAGGAATTCCAGTCATTTTTCGGATTTTGTCCTCACAATGAGAAGCTTCCGTTGAGATCATCCTCCTCTTCTTCTCATATTTTGCTTTCAATATTTTTGATACTCACCTTTTATCTCTGAAATCTCTGATTACTGGCACTCTCTGGTTACTCTCACTTGTAAAAAAATCGATGGGTTATTAATGTATATAGAATAAATTTGATTAATTGATTGATTGGAACATGAAAGTTATCAATAGAGCGCGGTTTAAATGAGATTAAGCGATTTCGAAGGAATGCAGAGATTAAAATATAACACACGAAGGAGGGAAAAAGAGATCATATGCATCAGAATTAAATCACTTTGAGCCGCCCATATCCGCGTCGCGCATCGAGCTGAAATCCGTGGATCCGGTGGCACCGCCCTGATAATTTTGCGGTTCGAACGTCTGATTGGAGTCCTCGTCGAAATTGTCGTTGGTGGAGAATTGCGAGTCCTCGTTGATATCGAAATTCACTGCTGGTTGGGTGACACTGGTGGAGTCCTGAGAGTTCTCGGCCGATGGCACTTGATTGCTCTCCTCGTCGATTTCTTTGAGCGCGGGTTTCGGTGGAGCCATGATGTTTTGAGCGCTTACTGAATTTAGAAAATGGAAAATTGTCTAACATTGAAAAAAATCAATAATTCCAACCTGGCACCCATTTATAGATTCTGATATTGGTGTCTTTGATGAGAACAAGCTTTTTCTCCCATTTTCGGACTTTTTCCAGAGAGTTGATAACCTAAATAATCGATATAATAAGAGAAACATACAAGTTTTTACCTTCCGCAGTTCGTCTTTTGAACGGTTTCGGGTTTCGGCGCGGTGGGAGCGATTCGCGGAGTACATCTGTAATTTTAAGGGATTAAAAGGATTAAAATGATTAAATAATTGAATACGAGCATTAATTTTTCCATTTTAATTGGAAAAAAATGGAAAAAACCAGTTAAAATAGCGGAAAAACGTTCCCTCGTTCAAAAAAAATAAATGAAGGCTAGAGAAATCTCTGCGTCCTTCACTCTCTAAAGCGTGTCAATGGAGCGCACATGCTATTATTTGCAATTGTTCCAATTTTTTCCTCTTCAATTTCTCGTTGTCTTTTCCTTTCGCAATCGCTTTTCATCGCTTTTTTCCAATTTTTTCTTGCTCAAATGTCAAAATAGCTTTATTTTGATCGAAATTATGTAAATTTATTGCTTCAGCTTTCCTCAATTCTTGAAAAACCTCTTCAAAATGTCCACAATTGGAAAAGAGGATATTTACGAGTCGGATGGCGCTGCGGACTCGATTCAAAACGCTCAACAAGAGGCTGATATTCCAAGTCATCCGGATATCGAATTGGTAATCTTAATTTATCGATTTTCCGATAAAATTCAAGAATTTTCAGGTTTCCGTCGATATCGATGAGGCACTGAAGAAGTACAAGAATCGAGTTCTCAACTTGACTTCTAGCGGTATTTTCTTAATCATGTCAACTTTTTTATATTGATTTTATTCAGATTTCTCCGATTCGATCGCCAAAAAACGTCGTCATGCCTTCGGAAACAATCAATACGTGCTGGAAGTGGCCGGTGCTGGATTCGGAGGCACCGAAACGGCAGACGAGAAACTGAATCGTATTCTGTACGAGATCGCAGACCTAAACGAACAAATCCGAAGCGATGAGAATGTGAAAACGGAACTTCTGAATGCAGAAGTACTGGAGAATTTGGAGAAAGAAGTGAAGACGTTGCAAGGGATGAAGACGAATGAAAAGGAGGCAGTGAAAGTAGAGGTGGAACTTCCAAAGGTTCGTGTCGATTCGAAAGTGGCCACTTTGGAGAATAGACTGAGAAGAATCGAACAAGTGATCGGGAGCTCTGTGATCCCATCGGCTCCAGTTCTCGACACAATTGAAGATCTCAAATTGAGATGCGAAACTCTCAATCATTCGTACGTATCAGGTCTCGAGCAACGACTAAATGTGATGCTAACAAAGCTAGAAAAGATCGATGAGACTCGCGCCAACAACGATATCGATGAGAATCTTGACAAGAAGGTCAACGAGATTCTGGAGCTGATGCAGAAGTGGGACGTCGCGTGCTCCTCGCTGCCAAGCAACGTGAACAAGGTGAAAGCGTTGAATCGTCTTCATGAACAGGCACAACACTTTGCCAGTGGACTGTCGCATTTGAAAACTATCCGAGAGAAGTTGGAGAAGGAGGTCGCCCAGGGAAGAGAAGCTATCATTGAATACGAGACGACAGGCAAACAAGAACTCGCAGCCGTCGTTGAGAAATTGAAGCTTTTGGAGGCAAAGTTGAAGTAGGAGACTGTGTCTTTGTGACGAAGAAATCATAATTTATATATTACGAGAAAATCGGAAAATCCTGTTCTATATTTATGTGCTTTATTATTGTAACTTTATTTCGCATGAAATCAGCTTTTAAAATCAAAATTATCAGCAGTTGAAGGCCATGCTCAGGTACCGAACTCCCCAGCCGGTGATGTCGTCCTGAAAATTTGAAGTTTAAAAGCGCAGCGTGGGTCTTGCCACGATGTAAAAGCGCAATTTTTCCAAAACGAAATCGCGAACTTTCTAAAGCTACAGTATGTTTCGCGGTGAGACCCAACTAGAAACCGGAGCGTGCGTCTTGATAGAAATCGAATTTTCGGGAAAAAAAGCGTTTTATCCATCGAAATCAGTTTTTTTCAGCAAAATTAATTCGTCAGAAAAAGTGCGGCGTGGGTCTCGCCACGAAAAACCTTCAATTCTTCTCAAACATTTAGCGTTTATTTCAATTCAAAAAACAAATTATCCTTCTCGTTTAATGATACAGTAAGCTTCGTGGGGAGACCCGACTAAGAAAAAATGCTCGCGTCTTTCAACACAGCGGTGATTTTACAGAAAAAGCGTGTTTCTTTTCATTTTAAATCGGTTTTTGAGCGAAATCCCCGCCACATTTTGCTGAAAAAAATGAAAAATTGGCGCAAACTCACATTAAACGCTCTGATAATCATATGAAAATGGTCCTCGAATCCCATCAGCGTCTGCGAAGTCACATGAAATTCCACAGTCATATGCGCACCGTTCTTCGTCATTATGGCGAAAATAATGTCGATTTTCGGGTTGCGATGGGTTCTGGCGTAGTGTTCAAAGTAGTCACGGAGGCGGGTGTAGTCCAGTTTTCCCTGAACATGCTCTGGTGAGAAAAAAAGGGGAATTTAGGCCTAAAATATCTTATTACGTGATTCTTTCAAAAAATATTATGTGGAATTGCATCGAAACTAGTCTAGTAATTTTTTGCGACTCTGGGAAGGAAAATTTCAAAATTGTTCGAATAAATTTCCGATAGAGCGCACTTGCCTGAATATTACAATCCGTTCCTTTGACTTGGTCATCATAGTAATTAAAGTGATTAGTTGTCTCTTTGGGACTGTCGAACATTTGACGGAATGTTGCCATGTAAAAGTGCAAGAAATGAAAGCAGTTTTTGGTCCGTGCCACTTTTGGGAACATTGATCGGGGGTCGCTGATCCAGTTCTGGAAAAAATATTTTTAGAAAAAAATCGAATTAATTTTAAAAATCCTAAACTTACCGCAGTGACCGCAGCATCGATTTCCACTACCAAAAACACAACGAGGAGAAAAATTCCAAGAAGAATTCTCATGTTTTTCAAGTGAAACAGAGAAAAACTGAAGAAGAATGAGCCGAGGAAATGTTTCAGAGAGAAAATTATAGGTTGTACGATTTTGTTCTCGAAATTGTTGAAGCACGAAAAATTGGCACGCGAGGAGGAGAGACTTGTTATTATCATTTTTCCCACAGAGAACAGAACACATTTTTATATAAGAATTTTGGTTTATTAGGGATAAACTTATTAAACAAATTACAGCGAAAAAAACAAGGAAAAAAATAACAGGATACAGGAAAAAAAACCGCAAAATCAAGAAAAAACCGAAAAAAAAATGACAGGAAGAGAGAAAAATCACGAAAAATACCAAAGAAGGTTTATCGACTCACAGGAGATGACAAGAAGTGGTTGATGACGATCCTGTTTGTTCTGTAAATAAGAATCATTAGTAAAGTACAAATATTCCAAAGAAAAAATTACTTACCTAGTTGAACTGGCGAAACTCTCTACGCTTCCGTTGTGCGCGTTTCTTCATTGGTGGCTCATCAACTGGTCCATCGAGTTTTGCGGCTTGGGCCTTTTGCCACTCCAACATCCTGAACTCCTTGTACTCCTTCATATTCGTGCTGCTTTCCGGATTGCGAGGTGGCGGCTTGGGGATGTGTTGGAGCGGCTTTGCAACATAAGGAGTCTTGGTAATCTTCTTCTCCTCGATAAATGCTGGTTGGAAGCGATTGGTTGGTGCCTTCGGTTTGGGACAGAATTTCGAGGGTGCCGTTCTTTTTTTGATGAGGAAGTCGTCTGAAGTGGTGGCACGATGGGATTTCTTCGATTGATCCGTGGATGTGGAGACTGAGGATGAGAACGAGCAGGGAGACGAGGCACCAGAAGATCCAGTAGAAGAAACAGAGATCTTCCTTTTTCGAGAATAGCAGACCTCAAGATCCTTGTCCGTGAGCTTTGGGAGCATTGGAAACATGTTGAGCAGTAGATTGATGAAAGAAGATGTAGACGATCCAAAAGAGGATAATGGAAAAAGAATGAGTGTTCTGAGTGGACCTACTCTCCTTATATACTAGTCTGGCATTGACTCCTAAGCTCCGCCCCCTATTGATTTTCTTGGGAACAATAGGGGTGTAGAGTACTGTAGATTAGTGTGATGGGTTACTGTCACTTTTATGGTGGGCAGGTGGATTGGACGAGAAGATAGTATCACCATGAGAGAATCTAGAGACTGGGAATATTAGAATATTGGGATACGGTTTTGATTTTCGAGGGGAATCGGGAATCTAGTCCTGCTGAGGGGCGGGGTTTTGAAATAAACTAGAGTCCATTGTAATATTTACCCCTCTCTTCTACCCATCGATATTTGTTCAGGGGGCCTAGTGGTTAACGTTCCTGTTTTTGGATTTGGTGACCTTGGTTCGATTCCGGAACCCCTCAACAATTTTATCTTTTCTTTTGAGATGGATTGAATCACCGAGAAGATTGAATCACCATGAGAGAATCTAGGGACTGGGAATATTTTAGAATTGGGATATGGTTTTAATTTTGGAGGGAATTGAGGACCTAGTCCTGCTGGGGGACGGGGGTTGGAAATAAACAAGAGTCTATTGCATTTAGTACCCCCTCTCTTCTATCTCTAGGTATCTGTTCAGGTGGCCTAGTGGGTAACGCTCTCGTTTTTGGATTTTGTAACCCGGGTTCGATTCCCGGAACCACTCACTAATTTTTTTTTCTTTTTTTTGAATATCCGTCTACTTTCAGAGGACCTTCGAAGGATTTATGGGAGAGATAACCTGACAATTTCCAGAAAATATACTCTATAATTGGGTGGGTAGACAATAAGGAAAAAAAGAAGGACATGGGATCCTAGTTTTGAGATTTATTTACTGTATGAAAGTACAATAGTCAAAATGAGACTCCAGTGAAGGTACGGCAAGTCACTTGTAGTAACTACAAGATGCCAGGAAGAACAACAAGTTTCCGAAAAGAACGAGGAATTGCCTGCAAAAACGATTGACTACCGTAACCCTCGTTTCCGAAAATCTCAAATTTCCATGATTCTCTCCACAAATTCACTCATCCATAGTTGATATTTCACAGTTTTACACCCATATTCATTCCATCCCTAACCAAAAATTGTCGAAATTCCTAACTCTTTTTCCCTTATGAATCCTTATTGTCTACTCACCCTATTATTGAGTCATTGCTCGTCAAATTGTCAAGATGTCTCCCAATAAATCCTCTAAAGTTATTCTGCTGTTCGAAAAAAAAGAAAAAAACTATTGAGGGGTCCCTGGAATCGAACCCGGGTTACAAAATCCAAAAACAAGGGCGTTACCCACTAGACCACTTGGACACATGTCAAGAGATAGAAGAGAGGGGATACATATGGCAGCAACCTCTCTTTTTTCCGAAGGCCCGTCCCCCAGTAGGACAAGGTCCCCAATTCCCTCCAAAAATCAAAACCGTATCCCAATTCTAATATTCCCAGTCCCTAGATTCTCTCATGGTGATGCTATCTTCTCGTCCAATCCACCTGTCCACCATAAAAGTGACAGTAACCCATCACACTAATCTACAGTACTCTACACTCCTATAGTTCCCAAGAAAATCAATAGGGGGCGGAGCTTAGGAGTCAATGCCAGACTAGTATATAAGGAGAGTGGGTCCACTCAGAACTCTCATTCTGTTTTCATCCATCTTGGATCGTCTACATCTTGCTCCATCACTCTACTGGTCAAAATGGACTGCCAACTCCCGAAGCTCACCGATACGGATTTTGTTGTCGACTACTGTCGAAAAAGGAAGCACTCCTCCTCATCATCATCAACCGGATCTTCTGGCAACTCGTCACCCAACTCGTGCTCAACCTCCTGCTCTGACGCCTCTTCCACCTCTGGTCACTGGAAGAGACCCCTCCCGGCCGCCGCTCCAGCTTCACTAGATGAGTTCCTCGAGAAGAAAAGGACCCTGCCAGCCGCTTTCTGCCCAAAACAGAAAGATGCCACCCGCCGTTTCCAACCAGCCAGGATCAATGAGTCGAAGGCCCCGAAGATCCCATACGTGCCACGCCCTCTTCATCACATCCCCAAGCCGCCACCACGCAATCCGGAGAGCAGTTCAAATATGAGGGACTACAAGGAATTCCGAGAGCTCGAACGGCAAAAGGCTCAAGCCGCAAAACTCGATGGACCTGTTGATGAGCCACCAAAGAAGAAACGCGCACAACGAAAGCGCAAGGAGTTCCGGCAGTTCAACTAGGTAAGTAAATTTTTTTTTCGAATTTTTTGAACTTTACAAATGATCCTTATTTACAGAACAAACAGGATCGTCATCAACAACTTCTTGCCATTTCGTCATCGCCTGTGAGTCGGTCAACCTTCTTTGGTATCTTTGTGATTTGTGATTTTTATCTTCCTGTCATTTTTTATAATCTTTGCGGTTTTCCTGTAATCTGTTTTTTTTTCTTTTTTTCATTGTAATTTGTTTAATAAGTCTTAATTTTTTATCCCTAATAAACCAAAATTCTCATAAAAAATGTGTTTTGTTCTCCTTAAAAGTAATAGTAACAAGTCTCTCCTAGCCTCTTTCGTTGCATTTCTTCTTCTTCGGTTCCTTCGTCGCTATTATGCCAATCTGTATGAATGATAGTTGTGGCATGATCGCTGACCAATATTTCCAGTGTGCCCCGGTTGTAAAGGAAACCGGACGAAACTCCCATCATCAGATAAGCTTCATCTGATACTCTTAGGTGCGACGCAACTGCCAGAATCCGATAACCAGAGAGAGCGCAACGTTCAGAGTTCCCCCAGAGAGATTATGTCCGGAGGTCAGAAACCCTCAGGTATATGCTCGTATCCTTGATCATTCTCTTCCCCAGACGTTCTGGAGCCTTCTGAAGGCTGGCTTAGTGATACTTGGGTAAAGAGATACCCAAAACCTATGCACTCTTGAGAA